GAAATACTGTGTAAGAAGATGTCTTGAGTGGGTGTGGCCCTCTAATAATTGATATGCAACAGATACTGCTATATAGAACACAAACCAGTTGAGTGACTGAATGTGTGAAAAAGCAGAGACTTGAAGCACCGACATCCAGTTGTGGAGGGCAGGGTCTTGAAGTTCCTTTTGAGAGAAGCTTTCTAAAATTAGTGGGAGCAATTTTTGATAGAAATAAAGTGGTGGGTTGATTGGAGTGGGGGCAGTCCTTCCATCTCTCCATCTCCCTTCTATGTTGACAAAAGCCGTGGAACATGGAATGATTGACCTAGATGGTGGAAAATGAACTTGATTTTCTGTTGTATTAGACCTATAAGATTCTGTATTTTTCTTCAGGACCTGTCTTGCTGTCGTGTGAACACATTGATAGTATCGCTGAATGTCACAATATTGATCGCTGTGACTACCTGTCTTGGAAACTGTGACTTGAAGTGTCAGAGGCTCTGTGAACTCTTCTGCCTGAACAAGCCCTGATGAAACCCAGTGATGCGAATGTCAGGGGAATCTAAGGCTCTGTGTTACATGCTGGGTTTATGGAGCAGTTCTTGACAGATGAATTGAAGGGGGCGGTACTAGCAGTTCTGGAGGCCTGGCACATTGGCTTATTGTTTATAGAAATATATTAAGAAGAAAAGATGAGTTGATAAGTTATTAATTTTTTCTCCCTCTCTCCCTTCCGCCTTTGTTCTTTCCAGCTTTCTTTTTTCATTTCCCGGATTTTTTTCCCTCTCTTTTAACTCTCATTAACTTATCAGTGAATGATGAATGGCCAATTTGTGAAATTTAGCCATTTCTCAAAGCTTCAGGATAATGTTCCAGTATAGTTAGCTACATTTAAAGATCTCCATTATATGTGAATACCTTTGAAAATATCAAATCATGTATGCCATTATAACCTTCATCAATGACCAGTCATGACTTCTTTGTTTAAAACACATTGTAGTAAAAATATAGGCTCATCTTCTGTGGAGGTGAGAGGATATCCTTTGTATAGTTTGACATTGAGAACTTTGCATGATACCACACAGCTAGGATTTTTGAAATATTTTCGACAGATTCCCTTGCTGCCACCCAGAAGTGGTACTGACCTAGAGCCGGGGTTCCACTGAAGTCATGTGAGTTCTGTGTTTGCCAGAGCTGCAAGACTCAACTAGAATGAGACTGGATGGTGAGACTTAGAAAAGCCAACTAATGTGCACAGCAGCTCTCCTTTACTAGCCAGTCCGTGGTAGAGCCTGCAGGGCCTCCACGCCTAAGGAGCACCTCTGCTGCAGAGCCCACCTGGCTTTCAGTTACTGGTTTCTAAGTGCAGTCATCTATGTTTAAGTGACAGAGGCATCAGTGCTTCCTCCAAACCTTGATGTAAAAAATTTTTTCACAGATAGCTGCAGACATGTCTAACTCCACACATGTGGCATTCTAATCTGGTGAATACAGCAAGGAGTAAGGGACAATTCATTTCTGAGTGGCAGTTTGACATATCAAAGCTGTCTTTTTTTTTTTTTTTTGAGACAGAGTCTTGCTCTGTTGCCAGGCACCAGGCTGGAGTGCAGTGGGGGCAATCTCGGCTCACTGCAATCTCCGCCTCCTGGGTTCAAGCAATTCTCCTGCCTCAGCCTCCCGAGTAGCTGGGACTACAGGCGCACGCCACCACACCCAGCTAATTTTTGTATTTTTTAGTAGAGATGGGGTTTCACCATGTTGGCCAGGATGGTCTCGATCATTTGACCTCATGATCCGCCGGCCTCAGCCTGCCAAAGTGCTGGGATTACACAAAGCTGTCTTTTAAAGAAAACTTCACCCAGCTCATATGATCTGACCTGTAATGTAGAGCTCTTTCTCTTTCTTTTTGCTTTTTTTCACCCTCCTCTCAAGGACTGATGTAAGTGTGCAAGTATTTTGATCATGTTCTCCCCGCCAACCTCCACCCCTAGCTTCCACGGCTTTGTTTCAGGCCCTGGGGGAGGAGCAGTTGTGAATGCAGTGTGACTCACTTGACTCCCACGCTGCTGATTCTGGTTCTGATTGGCTGTCACCTTGCTCTAGCCATATGGCTGAAGAGTAGTACTCTAGCCCGCATCCCTTGCTCCTGCTTTCCCCTACTGTTCCCTTCGGTTGTACACAACATTAGGAGCGGGTTCTGGGCTTTGTTTCTTGCTTCTAGTTTACTTTATTTAGGCAGTGAGTAGGAGAGCACACTGTATTTCCTAAGGATGGCTGTTGAGGAGAAAAAACACCTTTTCCTTTTGTGACTGGTATAGTAATTAGTTTCCTGTGCTGTTTTTGTTCAAAGTTTGTTTTTTGGCAGGTCAGGTTTATGTTGTATTATTTCGTCCTGATTTTTCTCCTTCCTCTGTTTTGATCTGTTTTGGGTTTTTCGTTGTTTTTGTTTTATAAGAGCTCTTGAGGTTTCTTTCTCTGGCTGCTGATGCTGCACGTTAGCTAGTTCATTAATATGCTTGATGTCTGATAGGGAGGAGGACTGAAAGCAACTCTAAATAATTATTTAATTTTTAAATGTCTAAATGTTCTGGCAGTCACCAAGCAATAAAATCTACATGAGATTCTCAACATTATCTGCAGCACCGCTGCTATTACTTTGCCTTCTCCTAAACTACAGCAGTTCAATTATTCTGCCTTTTATATTTGAGAAATAGAATTTTGAAGACTTGAAAGTTAATTTTTATAAGCATTTGATATTTTATTAATTTGCATTTTTATTATTTTGCAGATGGTTTCTGCAAAGACTTCAAACTCTGCATCATTTAAAAAAAATATTTACTCAGAGAGGCAGTGCTAGCAGAGTATAATGTATAACAGAATTTTTCCCCCAAAAAATTGGCCTTTACATAATATTTTAGTTGTCTGAAAAGAATCAATAATAAAATTTTTTTTAAAAAACCTCTCGCCCAGGCATAGTGGCTTACATCTATAATTCCAGCACTTTGGGAGGCTGGGGTGATCAGGAGTTTGAGACCAGCCTAGGCAACATGACGAAACCCCATCTCCACAAAAAATTAGCTGGGCGTGGTGGCACGCACTTGTAGTCCCAGCTACTGGGTAGGTTGAAGTGGGAGGATCACTTGAGCCTGGGACACGGATGTGGCAGTGAGCCAAGATCATGCTGCTCCACTTCAACCTGGGTGACAGAGCCAGACCCTGTTTCAAAAACACATAATAAAAATAGAAAAACCCAAAAATAAACAAACAAAAACAACTCTCAAGAAAACATTTTTTTTTACTTAAAGGTTTTAGAAATTTATTATGTAAATATTTTAATGTTCAAATATGTTAAATGAGTAATCCACAGATTTAGATTCTTTAGAGAATGTGGGAGGAAAAGTTGTTCAGAACCATAAGCAGGCATTTGAATATTAACCTGGCTTTGACGGTTTCACCTAATTATTTAAAGCTCTTTGTTCATTTGTTTTTCTTCATTCATAATCTATGTTAGAGAGAGCCAAGATCGTGCCACTGTAGTCCAGCCTGGGTGACAGAGCAAGACTCTGTCTCAAAAAAAAAAAAAAAAAAAAGAAAAAAGAAAATCACAGTCTATTTTTATCAGGAATAGCACACCTCTGCTAATGAACTAACTGGAAAGCATATGAAATAGGAGAGGAATGCTGCTTATACCTTCTTCCTGCCATTAGGGCAGGAGAGTCATAGCCCAAATATGGCCCCAAATAGTTATTATATACTTTATAAGCCATTTGCTGGTCTTTGGCCCCACTACTTTATACATCATGTAAAGAGAACAAGGACATTTACTCAGCAATATAGTTCTAAGTGCAGACCATAGCTGTGAACAAAATAAGCGCCTGCCCTCATGGGGTTTACATTCTGTTGAAATGTATTATAGTAATGAAGTTGTCCGGAAAGTGTTTCTCTTGGATTTGAGCAAGACCTAGAAAATGTGAAGAACTTTGACTTAAATTTTCACTCCATGCAGTTAAATCCCTACTCTGCCTAAACAAATGTGTGTACTTCCACAGATCCTGTCCCAGCACAGAAGTCCTGCTCATGAATTGCACATTTCAGTAACTTAGAACGTCTGTTGTTTATATGACATATTACTGGGATCAAGGTTTCTTTGTTTACACGTTTAATGTTTTCAACTGGGACAGATATATGATGTTTGCTTAATAAAAGTTACTATGGATAGTTTCTGTGTTATCATATGTAGAAAATACTAAGCTGGGCACAGTGGTGTGCGCTTGTAGTCCCAGCTGCTTGGGAGGCTGAAGTGAGAAGATTGCTTGATCCCAGGAGTTGCGGGGACTGGGGAAGGAGCAGTAGTGCACTATGCACTGCAAGGCTGTAGTGCATTATGACTATACCTATGAATAGCTACTGTACTCCAACCTAGGCAATATAGAGAGAACCTATCTCTAGAAATAAAACTAATAATAATGATCAACAATATGTCAATCACAGTTCTGAGTACTTTCCATAAAACAAGTCATTTGGTGCACATAAGAACCCCAAAGGTACTGTTAACCACCTCATTTTAAAGAACAAGACAGTGAGACCCAGGTAGGTTCATAAACTTACCTAACATCTTATAACTGTGAGTAGCAAAACTGAAATTGGAGTTGAAGTAGGATGACTCCAGAGCCCTGCTTTTTACTGCTACATTCTATACTGCCATCAGCATGCTGAGTTAATAATGGTCAGGAAATAGGAGCTCTGCTTTGTGATCTTGTTCAGGTTTTTTATTTGTGTGCCTCAGTTACCCTTTATATACAAAACATTTCTTATACCATCAGTTTCATATTAACAATAATGTATATTAATTGCTTTAAGCTTTTCATGTAGAATCTGTGTAAATTTAGATGTAATAAGTCTTAGATGAAGCTAGTTATACGAAAGATGTCAGAGACATATAATTGCTGCATATTTTCTATGTAGCTGATAGAGCAGTATTCTAATATATTTTATTTCTTTTTGTCTTCATTTGGTAGAAAAGAGTAGTTGAACAGCTACGGAAGAACCTGATAGTAAAGCAAGAACAACCGGACAAGTTCCAAATACAGCCATTGCCACAATCTGAAAACAAACTACAAACAGCACAGCAGCAACCACTACAGCAACTACAACAGCAGCAGCAGTACCACCACCACCACCCCCAGCAGTCAGCTGCAGCCTCTCCCAACCTGACTGCTTCACAGGTAAACGTGTGGATGGAATGTTGCAGGCTGCAGGTTGTAGACTGATTTGTTATTGGTCATGTAGAACCGAGTCCTATCTCAGACTATACTAAGCTCAACTAAAACTAAACAAAAGTTATTTTCGTTGCTTTTTTGTAGTATAACCCAGATAAGTATCACTTGAAATCATTGGCAGAAGGAAATAACAATACTAAGAAGCAAAAGTTAATGATCTCTCCCACCTGTCCGAAGAAGGGGAGCAAGGTAGTCAATAACAAAGAAAAATCACTTCTCTGCATTACAGCAGAATTAAAATCTTATTTTGAATTTTTGGAGGTATTTGTTTACACTTGTTCTAAAAGTTTGTGATTTGACCTCTTCCGGAATTGCTTTTCTGGAATTCTTAGCAAGTAGGCATAGAGCTATTCCAGGATCAGTGCGGGACCAGATAGAAAGAAGCATTCAGAAGGCTGTTATGGCTGGGCGCAGTGGCTCAGATCTGTAATCCCAACACTTTGGGAGGCCGAGGCAGGCAGATCACTTGAGGTCAGGAGTTTGAGACCAGCCTGGCCAACATGGCAAAATCTCATCTCTACTAAAAATACAAAAATACTAGGCAGGCATGGTGGCATGCACCTATAATCCCAGCTACTTGGCAGGCTGAGGCAGGAGAATCACTTGAACCCAGGAGACAGAGGCTGCAGTGGGCAGAGATCACACCACTGCACTCCAATCTAGGCAACAGAGCGAAATCAGTCTCCAAAAAAAAAAAAAAAAGAGTGCTATATGCACTATTCATAGAAACATTCATTTTTAAGCCGTTATTCATGAGAAAATGAATTTGTTCTAATACATTGATGGGAATCTGAAATGAAAGCTACAGGTCAAAACTAAAGAAGTGGGAGCTTAATAAAATTCTAACTTGGTGTAGTTGTGCAAATGTTTTTACTGAAAAGGGCATTTAAGCATATAATGTAAGAATAGTGAGGCAATCAAGACACATAAAAAGGACATATTTGGAAATGATATTCCAAATGATGCTTGGATCCTTGAAGGTCGCAGATCCCTTCATGACTCTGTTGAAAGCTCTAGATCCCTCTCCAGAAGAATATACATTCACACTTACTACACTCATTTTTGTACACTTCAAGGATTTTGGGATCCTCTGAAACCTAAGCATGGCTACCTCTTCAAACCAACACCAGGTCTCTGCTGTGTTTTTATATGTAGAGAAAAAAAGTATAGTTCACTTGGCCGTTCACTGTTTATGGACATTGAATTGGTTCATGTGCAACATTTTGCAAATAAAGAATGAATTTTTTGTGAGAACACTAAAGATAAGTTAACATTTAAGAGAGGTTATTGTAGCCGGGCGCGGTGGCTCACGCCTGTAATCCCAGCACTTTGGGAGGCTGAGGCAGGTGGATCACAAGGTCAAGAGATTGAGACCATCCTGGTCAACATGGTGAAACCCTGTCTCTACTAAAAATACAAAAATTAGCTGGGTGTGGTGGCGCACGCCTGTAGTCCCAGCTACTTGGGAGTCTGAGGCAGGAGAATCGCTTGAACCCAGGAGGTGGAGGTTGCGGTGAGCCGAGATCACGCCATTGCACTCCAGCCTGGGTAACAAGAGCGAAACTCCATCTCAAAAAAAAAAAAAAGAGAGGTTACTGTATACTGGCAGTCTCCTAAGTGCTTACATATATAATAGACATATTCCTTACTCTAATCCTAAGAGGAAGGTATTATTATTACCATCTCTGCTTTTTTTTTTTTTTTTTAAAGACTGAGCCTCACTCAGTCACCCAGGCTGGAGTGCAGTGGCATAAGCTTGGCTTGGCTCACTGCAATCTCTGCCTCCCAGGTTCAAGTGATTCTTCTTCCTCATTCTCCTGAGTAGCTGGGACTACAGGCACACACCACCATGCCTGGCTAAGTTTTGTATTTTTAGTAGAGACAGTGTTTCACCATATTGGCCAGGCTGGTCTCAAACTCCTGACCTTGTGATCCGCCGGCCTTCTCCTCCCAAAGTGCTGGGATTGCAGGTGTGAGCCACTGCACCTGGCTCACCATCCCTGTTTTTTAGAAGGGAAAACTAAGGCACAGAGAGTTTACATAATTTACCTCAGACCATGGAGGGTGGTATGTGGTGGAGCTAAGATTTGAACCTAGAGGTTTTGGCTGAAAGATATGTCCATTCAACTACTCTTCTATACTGCCATTCAATCCAAAAAAAAGCAATGCCAATACTGCATAAAACCAAAGAAGGAAAAAGAAAAATCCCTGTTATAAATCAGATCACTAGGACAACCTACATAATTTTTACCTTAATCACCACCCCAAGGCTATTTGGAAATTAGGCATTCAAAACTGACTTTAAAAATCCCCTTACCAGCACTTGTATTCGTTCTGAAAGAATGCTTAGAGGATAATTTTTGTTTAAGTTTTAATCAGGATTGGGTTAGGTTGTTCTCTTTCCAAAGTACAGTTTGATCAGAAAATGTTCACCTGGAAGGAGTGTGGTAGAATTCATTGTTTCCTGTTACACAGGAGTTTTCTGTCTTAACCCATGGAAACATTCTGTATAAGTAACATTTTATGTTATCAAAATCAAAGGAGACTGGGCACGGTGGCTCACACCTGTAATCCCAACACTGTGGGAGGACAAGGCTGGTGAATCACGAGGTCAGGAGTTTGAGACCAGTCTGGCCAGCATGGCAAAACTCCATCTCTACTAAAAATACAAAAATTAGGCTGGGCGCGGTGGCTCAAGCCTGTAATCCCAGCACTTTGGGAGGCAGAGGCGGGTGGATCACGAGGTCAAGAGATCGAGACCATCCTGGTCAACATGGTGAAACCCCGTCTCTACTAAAAATACAAAAAATTAGCTGGGCATGGTGGCGCGTGCCTGTAATCCCAGCTACTCAGGAGGCTGAGGCAGGAGAATTGCCTGAACCCAGGAGGCGGAGGTTGCGGTGAGCCAAGATCGTGCCATTGCACTCCAGCCTGGGTAACAAGAGCGAAACTCCATCTCAAAAAAAAAAAAAACAAAACAAAAATTATCCAGGCATGGTAACCTACATGTGTAATCCCAGCTCCACAGGAGTCTGTGGCATGAGAATCACTTGAACTTGGGTGACAGAAGTTGCAGTGAGTCAAGATCATGCCACTGCACTCCACGCTGGGCGACAGAGTGAGACTCCATCTCAAAAAAAAAAAAAAAAAAAAAAATCAAAGGAAGCAGGTCTAAAGTACTTGTAATAGCTTTTCCTTTCCCTGGTAGTCTGTGTTGCTTTGGGATGGTGGCTGGTGAGAGGTCTAGGGTTACCTCCAAAACAGTGTTGTGTAGCATCTAAGGGCGTCTCTCCATCCAGTAGCCTACCTGATATATTTAATTGATTTTGCCAACCTTTTTAAAATATTGTTTTATTTAATGCAGATGTTTAATGTTAAAAACCAAAAGGATCCTCTAAGCTTTTGGGTTTTGAGTTTACAGTAAATTACCAATATGATTTTTTTTTTTTTTTTTTTGAGACAGGATCTGGCTCTTTCTTCTAGGCTGGAGTGTAGTGGCACAATCTCAGTTCACTGAAACCCCTGCCTCGAGCCATCCTCCCACCTCAGCCTCCCAGATAGCTGGGACTACAGGCTCAGACCACCATGCCCAGCTAATTTTTGTATTTTTTGTAGAAACAGGGTTTCATCATGTTTCCCCATCTCAAACTCCTGAGTTCAATTGATTCACCTACCTTGGTCTCCCACAGTGTTGGGATTAAAGGTATGAGCCACTGTGCTTGGCAGTACCAATCTATTTACTGAACATACTCTATGTGCTCGATTCTGATATACAAAGAGCACTGGTCCCTGCCAAAAATCTGGTATATTGTAATTAGTAATTTTTATTTGTTCTATAAATATTTATGAAGTTCCTACTGTGTGCAAGCACTGTTTTAGGTAATGTGGAGGCTAAATGCACAAATTAGAGAGTTTGTTTTCAAGAATTAAAAAAATTTAAGATGTAGATGAAGTTTGAGGACACAGTAATTTTGACTAGAGGGATCAGAAAGTACTTTTCAAGGACGGTTGCATCCGAGCAGGGCCCTGACAGATGAATGGAATTTTAGTGATAGAGCAAAGGGGAAAGAGTTTCACAGGTGTGGAGAACACTATGAACAAAAGGATGGAGTCAAAAAGGTAAATACATGCCCTGGGAATCGCAAGTAGGCTGGTGTGGTTGGAATGTGGGATCCGTGAAACGATGGAGAGGAGATAAGGCCAACCCTCCAAAGCATGCCACAACTTCTGGGTTTCTTAACAGTCATAGGGAAGTGAGGGCAAGGACAAATGGGAGGTTACATATGGCATATATTAAATACACAGTTTCAGAAAGAATTAAATATTAAGTAGCAATCAGTAAGTTTTTTATTCTAAGTTGGGTGATTGGCATATACCAAGGCATAGAGGAAGCAATGAGGAATTCTTTTTGGAAGGAGGAATGGGGACAGTGCTTTACTTAGTTAACAGCAACTCATACTTGTATGTATATTTTTGAAAGTTTTCCAATCTACAGAAAAAGTGAAAGAATAGAACAGCTAAATACAGGTATACTCTCCAACCTATATTCACAGCCCTCTCATTTTTAATGGCATAATGCAAATGTAAAGAGAGCAGTTAATAAAACCAAATAGAAAAGAAACCTTTGTAAACAAAAAAGGGAGAGGGGTTCTTTTTGTGGTTGTTTGAATATACAACAGTGACTGCATACAAAATTAAACAAGCAAAATAATCTAAAATGGATGTGGAAGTTAGTTAGATTCCAGTGTAATAATCCCTTAAATTCTGATATGGATTTCATCTGTTTTGCATTATGTCTTTTCTTTGAGACAGAGTCTCACTGTATTACCTAGGCTGGAGTGCAATGGTGCAATTATAGCTCACCTCAGCCTTGACATCCCAGGCTTGGGTGATCCTCCCACCTCAGCCTCTCAAGTAGCTGGGACTATGGGTGTGTGTCACCATGCCCAGCTAATTTTTATATTCTTTGTAGGGGCGGGGTTTCACTGTATTGCCAACTGGTCTCAAACTCCTAGGCTTTAGTGATCCACCCACCTTGGCCTCCCAAAGTGCTGGGATTATAGGCATGACCTACTGTGTCCAGCCTGAGTCCATCTGTTCTAAATCAATACTTCATACTTGGCAGGTAAACAATAAGAGCAAATAAACAAGTAAAAAGGATTTTGCTGTTAGCACTGTTTGCTATGCCATGCATTTCTTCATTAACTTCTAGCTCATGCAATTTGGGTTTTGTCAAAGTAAAGAACCCCTTCATGAAACTGTGGAGAAACAGCTACCTTCTCCACAAGGTAATCATACTTAGCCACTGTTAACTAGCTAAAAACAAATCACAACTTTCATAAAAATAAATCTCTTGGCTGGATGTGGTGGCTTATGCGTGTAATCCCAACACTTTGGGAGGCCAAGGCGGGAGAATTACCTGAGGCCAGGAATTCTAGACCAGCCTGGGCAACATAGTGAGACCATGTCTCTACTAAAAATTAAAAAAAATTACAGGTGTGGTAGCGCCCACCTGTAGTCCTGGCTACTCAGGAGACTGAGGTGGGAGGATTACTTGAGCCCAGGAGGTCAAGACTGCAGTGAGCCGTGATTGCGTCACTGCTCTCTAGCCTGGGTGACAGAGCGAGACCTGTCTCAAAAATAAATAAATAATAATAATAATTTGTTGTTGGACACCTTTTTTCTCTATGTCACTTCTTTCTCCTTTTAGAACAGTTCAGACATTTTCATTAGACTTATTTCAAAGTTCTAAATTCCCTTTGTCATCTGAACTATAACACCCCAGAAGTTTGGTTTGTGTTCCCTAATATTAGGAAAAGAAAGGCCGGGCGCGGTGGCTCAAGCCTGTAATCCCAGCACTGTGGGAGGCCGAGGCGGGTGGATCACGAGGTCAAGAGATCGAGACCATCCTGGTCAACATGGTGAAACCCCATCTCTACTAAAAATACAAAAAATTAGCTGGGCATGGTGGCGCGTGCCTGTAATCCCAGCGACTCAGGAGGCTGGGGCAGGAGAATGGCCTGAACCCAGGAGGCGGAGGTTGTGGTGAGCCGAGATCGCGCCATTGCACTCCAGCCTGGGTAACAAGAGCGAAACTCCGTCTCAAAAAAAAAAAAAAAAAAAAAGGAAAAGAAGAAGCACCAGACTAGGGGTAAAGCTCTAAGCACTTCCTGTGTCTTGGTGTCAGTAAATGGTAAATACATTCTTCAAAAAGTTTTCACTGAAGCGTGCAGTACTGGGTCCTCTGCCTAACTATAAACAGTTATATAGATGCTGGAAATCGTGTAGTAAAATAAGCCATAACCATAGTTGTAAAAGAAAACTGCTAACCTAAGATGTGAACAAACTTACTAGGTTTCAGTGTTTTTAAAGTGTTTGGTTAATGATAAGTGTATAACTGAAGTGAGTTTGAGGCTTTAGTCAGTATTTTGTAGAATAATCAGTTTAGAGTTATTCAAAATATTGACGATTTACTTCAAACAAAAGTACATTGACTTCTTTTAAAGCAATTACAACATACGTCTTTAAAATCCATGTCAGTGAGTTCTTCTGACTAGAGCTTTACTCCCACAGTCCATGGTAGCACTGGATACAACGCCATCTGGTGTGACTGGATCACCACTTCAAAAGTTCTTTATGTTGACAGGTTTAAAATTGAAAACTGCCAGGCGCGGTGGCTCATGCCTGTAATCCTAGGACTTTGGGAGGCAGAGGTGGGTGGATCACCTGAGGTCAGGAATTAAAGACCAGCCTGGGCATCATGGTGAAACCCCATCTTTAAAAAAAAATTTAAAAAAAAAGAATAAAATTGAAAACTAAAGCTAATACACTGTGGTAGAAACATTTACTACAAATTGCTGGTAATACAGTCAGTCCTTGTTATTATACTGCTATTAACATAGCATTTCTAATGATAAACAGCATTTGGCTTTTACTTGGTTTTCATCACTGATAGAAGATAGTTGATCCACTCCACCCCAAAATAAATGTCAGTGTTCCCCCTTTCATTTCACATTTAAGAGGGCAGTGGCAAAGAGAATAAGCCACTCCTATGTTGTTGTCTTGGAGAAGAGGAAACAAAGATTTAGATGATGATCTTAAAAGATTAGACAACATGTGTATATGGCTTTCTTCATGTCGGTGAGGTTGTAGCAGTTAGGATAGAGATGATATGTACCTTTTCTACGTGTAAGACAGAAAAATTGAGATAAATAACTACCTAGAATAATACCCCAAAGTAGAAGATCATAGACACTGAAATAGAAATAAGGGAAGTTGTCCAGATGTGTTTCTGGGAGAATGGAGATACTTTTCACTGGTCCTGCGCAGTGATAGAACTTCCTGTGGTGTTGGAAATGCTATCTCCACTGTCCAGTTTGGTCACCATTAACCACATATGACTTTGGACATTTGAAGTGTGGCCAGTGTAACTGAGGAGGTGATTTTTTGTTTTGTTTTGTTGTAATTAATTTACTTTTCAATTTTTTTTTTTTTTGAGATGGAGTGGAGTCTGGCTCTAGCCCAGGCTGGAGTGCAGTAGTGTAATCTCTGCTCACTGCAACCTCTGCCTCCTGGGTTCAAGCGAGTCTTCTGCCTCAGCCTCCCAAGTAGCTGGAAATATGGGTGCCTACCACCATGCCCTACTAATTTTGTGTTTTTTGTTGTTGGTTTTTTTTTTTTTGAGACGAAGTCTCATTCTTCTTGCCCAGGCCAGAGTGCAATGGTGCAATCTAGGCTCACTGCAACCTCTGCCTCAGCCTCCTGAGTAGCTGGGATTGTAGGCGCCTGCCACCATGCCCGGCTACTTTTTGTATTTTTAGTAGAGAGAGGGTTTTGCCATGGTGGCCAGGCTGATCTCAAACTCCTGACCTGAGGTCATCTGCCCGCCACTGCCTCTCAGAGTGCTAGGATTACAGGCGTGAGCCACCGCGCCCAGCCAATTAATTTAAGTTTAAATAGCAACTTGTGGCTAGTAGCTGCCAAATCAGACAGTGCAAATATATAGTAAAGGTGGAGTAGTATCAAAATTCAGAACCAGTGAGCTTGACCAGATAAATTTTCATATTCCTGAAATATCTATCTCCAGATAGATGTGTAGGCCATGCAATGAATGTGTTTATATATATATTTTTTTTGTTTTTTAACTGATTCCTTTAATTATTCTAGTAAAAAATCTAGAAAAGTATAGCTTCAAAGCTGCAATAGCACTAAGGAGCATCAGTCAAGTCCTCTCACCTCGGTTCATCCTCTGATCTCCAAGGCTTTTGAAACTCAGATGTTTGTTTCCACCTTGTCATGTTTCATTGCATCTTTGATCACTTCTGCAGCAGTTCTCCAGAGAAAAGATTATAGGTAGTAACTCATAATATCCCTTTGGTATCAAAACTGGTATTTACTATATACTAGTTGGTTAATATGTTTCATTATCTGGAGAGCTTGGGATTCATTGCCTCTGAGGTAGCTGCCACTGAGGCAACATGCTAATCCTCCTGTGAGTTTCCCTTCCTTCTCTCCAGGGTGACGCTACTAAAAAAAAAAAAAAAAAAAAAGAAAGAAAAAAAAAAAAAAGTCACTGTCTTTTTACCCAGGAAACAGATATCCAGAATTATATGGTGGCTTTCTTCATAATAGTGAGATTGTAGCAGTTAGGATACAGATGATACGTACCTCATTGATTTGCAACAAATACAAAGTTTAAATTAATTGAGAGCAAGCAAAGAATTTAAAAAACTAAAACAAATAAGTACACTCACATTCTGTATCTGTACACCTACCCCATTCATTGTTGAAAACCCTGTGCCTGAATTAGTCTGCAGTTGCTACTATGAACTTACCCATGTACAAGTGACACCAATATGAGAATTCTTGAAAACTAGAGATTGCCTTTCCCTGTAGTAAGGAGTGTGCTCTATGTACACAAAAGAAATGTTGTTCTACAGAGAAACTTGATTATGGGAATTATTGTTTTGTTTACTTTTAAGGTTTAGCAGCATATTGTTTAGTGGGATTTAGTTTATTATTTAGTTTAGATTTAGTGTCCTAATACCTGTTTTCCCTGTCTCCTAGAAGACTGTAACTACAGCTTCTATGATTACCACAAAGACACTACCTCTCGTCTTGAAAGCAGCAACTGCGACCATGCCTGCCTCTGTGGTGGGCCAGAGACCTACCATTGCTATGGTGACCGCCATCAACAGTCAGAAGGCTGTGCTCAGCACTGATGTGCAGAACACGCCAGTCAACCTCCAGACGTCTAGTAAGGTCACTGGGCCTGGGGCAGAGGCTGTCCAAATTGTGGCAAAAAACACAGTCACTCTGGTAAGCCAGCAGCTGCTCCTCATGTGTGATCACAAGAGAAGGTTAGGATATGCATTTGTATAGTAAATCCTTCTTAGGCTCCTGCTGGATTTCTCAGTTTCCGTCATTCTTCTAGCATACTAAATTCCCCTTTGGGGCTGAGAAGGCAATATGACATTTCTGATATCTGCTCAAATCACTATAGAAGTGTCCTGACGCCAAGGAACAAACTCAGTGCATTATCTGAGGTCAAAGTATGACTTGTTTTTAGGGGGAAGGTCTCCTTCACAGAGGTATACACACTGTTTAATTTATCTCTCCCTCTGCCTTCACCCTGTCTACAGTGTTTTCCTGTGAAACTTGAGTGCTTAAACTCTCTTGTGCTGTATTACTGCCTTGGTGAAAACTCTCTGATAATTCTTTTAGTTTAATATCCCTTTAAATTGACTGTACCTAGAAAGTACTGGAGTTAGTTGGGGCACTTTTAAAATATTTAAGAAACTCACAAATTAACAGTGTCAGTGTCCAGTCTTGTCAGGGAAAAAAAAATCCCTTTAAGGAGGAAGTACCTGAACAAGAATTTTCACGAGAGTTCTAGGATCAAGCCATTTAGAAAACTGATATTCTCAGAAGCTTGGGAGAAATAGATCTAAACTTTGATATAAAATTTCCTTAAAATGGCACCTAAGAGCTCTTGATGGCTTTTGAATGATACCAGTGGTGAGTGAAACTAGAGAGCAACAAAGTGAAGCTTCACCACTTACCCTGGAATCCTTAGAGAAGCAACCAGATCATTCAGGCAGATAACTGAGAGTTGGAAAATTTTCTATTCACTGTTAGATAAAGTTCTATCAGGAAAAAGCCTATTTGGCTAAGTAGAAAGTTTGATTTTACTTTGGATCCAGTCTTGACTTTTAAAATATGTAAATGCAAAAGTTCCTGAGTGTCAAAGGAAATTGTCTAAGATTTACTGAGCCTGCTATGTTCTACATTAGATGTGGGAGGAAACAGAAGTGTGGTTGGTTCACTTTGTAGGGTAAAGCACGCAGGTGGGAAAGTGAAAAAGTTTCCTAATGCAGTGTTAATTCAGATGATTAACTTACGATGAAAGCTTGTAGAAAATATTGTCTGATCCAAAGAAGAGTGATGCTAAAAATACTAGCTTTGAGTTTGAAGAGCGATTGTTTTCTCTGGCTTATTTATCTTCCTCATTTTTTAGCAGGTTCAGGCAACACCTCCTCAGCCCATCAAAGTACCACAGTTTATCCCCCCTCCTAGACTCACTCCACGTCCAAACTTTCTTCCACAGGTGAGTAAAACAATGACAAGCCCAGTGATAGGTTAGATGGGACAAAAATCCTCATGGGCTCTTCCTAAGTATCCTGTAATGGGGCTTGTCAGCCCAGCTGTCTATCCCACTTAGCTAAAAATTCTGACTGTTGATTTCTGTACCATGAAGAAGCTTATTTTGTCATCATTGTTTATTAGCAGTGACCAAAGGCAGTAGTAAGGGAAAGTAAAGGAAAAGGAACATTTTCTAAATTTAAAGTAATTAAAACCATTATAAACCTTAAACTTACTAGAAGAATTTAGCCAAAGTCTGCCTGGCAGTGGGGAAAGAAAGCAATTAACACTTCTTATTTCTTTCCTGCATGCCAAAAAGAGTAGGGAAGGAAACAACAGCTAAACCAACTAGTAGAAACCATTCAGTTCTAACCTGGAAAGTGACGGTTTTGAGCATCATGCTTAAAGGCAATGTCTTGCTTCTAAAGGCTTAGGTTAGGGTCTGTACAGGGGACTTTCTCCCTAGGCCTGAGCAGCTCTGTATGACCATATTCTCCTAAGAGTGTTCTTCCAGCAATTAGGCTTTCACCATTCTCTAGGCAAAATGTCAAGATTTCCCCCTTCTGGACCTCGAGGAGTGTTGACTTGCTTGGTAGAAAGTCTGAGATTTCGCCGGGCGCGGTGGCTCAAGCCTGTAATCCCAGCACTTTGGGAGGCCGAGGCGGGTGGATCACGAGGTCAAGAGATCGAGACCATCCTGGTCAACATGGTGAAACCCCGTCTCTACTAAAAATACAAAAAATTAGCTGGGCATGGTGGTGCGTGCCTGTAATCCCAGCTACTCAGGAGGCTGAGGCAGGAGAATTGCCTGAAACCAGGAGGCGGAGGTTGCAGTGAGCGGAGATCGCGCCATTGCACTCCAGCCTGGGTAACAAGAGTGAAACTCTGTCTCAAAAAAAAAAAAAAAAAAGAAAGTCTGAGATTTCCTATCTGAGGCCCTAGTTTTCAGACAAAGAGAAAAGAAGGATTTTTGTGGTCAGCAGTGTTAATGATTTCCAAATAGCCTCTGGAGAGAGGATGGGCACTGCTAATATGAGATAAGATAATTTCAGTTATATATCAGATAAATCCTTAATAAATACCTTGGGTAGCAAACATTGTCCTAAGCACTGTGGATATTGCCAGTTTTCAAGACAGACAGTTCTCTGCCCTCAGAGTGCTTCAGGCACATGCACAGCCAATTACTGTGCCCAATATGGGAAGTAGAGGGCAGTCTGAGAGCCCATGAGAGAGATATCTGCCTATTATTTCTTTTTCCTTTTCTTTTTTTTTTTTTTTTTTTTTTTTGAGATGGAGTCTTAACTCCTGTTGCGCAGGCTGGAGTGCAGTGGCGTGATCTTGGCTCACTGCAACCTCCACTTCCCGGGTTCAAGTGATTCTTTCCTCAGTCTCCTGAGGAGCTGGGATTACAGGTGTGCACCACCATGCCTGGCTAATTTCTGTATTTTTAGCAGAAATGGGGTTTCGCCATGTTGGCCAGGCTGTTCTCGAACCCCTGACCTCAGGTGATCCACCCGCCTTGGCCTCCCAAAGTGCTAGGATTATAGGTGTAAGCTACCGCACCTGGCCTAATTGCCTATTTTTAAGAGTATTAGAGAAGGTTTCTTCAAGCTTTCTTTGATGAGTTGACATTCAGTATGACCTAAAATCCTAGTTGAGTTAGCCTGCTAAAACTTTGGAAGAAGAATAAAAATGTCCTAGACAGGCTGAGTGCGGTGGCTCACACCTGTTATCCCAGCATTTTGGGAGGCCAAGGCAGGTGGATCATGAGGTCAGGAGTTTGAGACCAGCCTGGGCAACATGGTGAAACCCCATCTCTACTAAAAATAGAAAAATTAGCTGGGCCATGGTGGTATGTCCCTGTAATCCCAGTTACTTGGGGGGCTGTGGCAGAAGAATCGCTTGAACCCAGCAAGGGGCAGAAGTTGCAGTGAGCCGAGATTGTGCCACTGCACTCCAGCCTGGGTGACAGAGCGAGATTCCGTGTGAAAAAAAAAAAAAATGTTCCAGGCAGAGGATGGAACATATATGTAGGTCCAGGATAGATAGATGCATTAAGTTTAAAGAACCAAAGGAGGTTTGCTATGCACAGAGGGCCATGTGACTCATGCAGGCTAGAGCTAGTTAGAGTCGAGGCTAGAGAAGTCCACTAGGGCCAGAGCTGATGGAACCTTGTAGGCTATGTAGGAATCTGGATCTTATCCTAGGAGCAGCAGACATTCATTAAGGCATTTTCAAGCAAGTACTTGATGTGGTCAGATTTATGGTTTAGAAAATTCCCTCTTGCCTCTATGCAGAGAATAAATTGGGGATGATCAAGACTGTGGGCAGCAAGAAGAGTTAGGACATAGTCAATAATGATAATAACCAATGTTTAGAGAATCTTGCTATGTGCTAGGTACTATGCTAGGTGCTTTACATGGGGTGTCTATTTTAATTGTTACAACAACCCTGTGCAAATAGGTATTACTCTTTTTAAGGTAAGGAATCTAAGGTTTAGTCCATGTTTTTCAAACAGTGGATCATGGCTCATTTGTTATGAAAGCAATTTAGTGGATTGTAACCAGGGTGTTTAAATAAAATGAAAAGAATAGAGTAGGAAGTATTAAGAGTACATAGGACATACTGTGTTCCCCCATTTCAGGAAGTTTTTGTTTTTAGAAATATATGTCTATAGGTGCATACTAATTACAGAGTCAAATATATTTCTTACTGTTAGTTAGTGGCACCCACCACAGGGTCATTTTAAGTTCAGCCAAACATTCATACCGACAAGACTTTCATGGGCCACACTTGGCACCAGTCTACTTGGAATGATATAGGACAGAAACCACAGCTTGTCAGCAAGATAGCACCAGACATTTGTCTTCAATGTGAGTCCATACAGTTGTCCCTACAGCTGTCCAAGGATAGCTCAGGTGTAAGGAAATAAGCTCCTTCTTTAGGATGGTGGGAAAGCCAACTTGGCATAGAAGCCTCATACCCACAAGACCCAGTATATTGTGTCAACTACATAGGCATAGCTTTCAAGGTCCCCACAATGGATGTGCTCAGGTTATGAGAGACACCCCACTTAAGGAAGCCAAATCATAATGTCCCCTCAAGCCCATTCAGATTTGATTTAGCAGTAAGGGATTTTTTTTTGAGACGAGTCTCACTCTATCACCCAGTCTGGAGTGCAGTGGCGCTATCTCAGCTCACTGCAACCTCCTCCTCCTGGGTTCAAGCTAACCTCCTGTCTCAGCCTCTCAAGTAGCTGCCTGGCTAATTTTTGTATTTTTAGTAGAGACAGGATTTCACTGTGTTAGCCAGACTGGTCTCAAACTCCTGGCCTCAAGTGATCCACCAGCCTCAGCTTCCCAAAATGTTGGGATTACAGGCGTGAGCCACTGTGTCTAGCCAGTGAGGGGTCATTTTTATCATAAGCAGTGTTTCCTGGTAATATGGTTGACATTCTTACCCTTAGACTAGGTTTCCAGGAGAGCAGAGCTAAAGAGTTAATTGAAGGTCAAACCTCATGCATAAGGGGAAAGGGTTTTGCCCACAGGGTCATAGTTTTAAAAGTTTGAAAAATACTGGCTTATGGCCAGACGCAGTGGCTCACACCTGTAATCCCAGCACTTTGGGAGGCCAAGGCAGGCGGATGATGAGGTAGGCAGATGACGAGGTCAGGAGATCGAGACCATCCTGGCCGACATGGTGAAACCCTGTCTCTACTAAAAATACAAAAATTAGCTGGGCATGGTGGTGCACACCTGTGGTCCTAGGTACTTGGGAGGCTGAGGCAGGAGAATCACTTGAACCCAAGACACGGAGGTTGCAGTGAGCCAAGATTGCACCACTGCACTCCAGCCTGGTGACAGAGGGAGACTCCGTCTCAAATAAATAAATAAATAAATAAACAAACAAAGATCAGGTATGTTGCCTGAGGTTACACAGCTAGTGAGTGGTAGAACCAGGATTTGAACCCAGGCAAGGCTGACCTCATGTTTTTAGCTGCAACTTTTTAATCATTGTTTTTAGTAAGCCAAACATAAGCTAGGAGAGTGGATAGTGAAGATGGAAAGAAATAAGACAGATTTGAGAAGTATTTAGAGAGTAGAGGATACAATAGGAATCAAGAATGATTCTGAAGTTTACCAAGAAAAGGGAATTTACTGAGGCAATTATAGGAAGAAGAGAGGATTGGAAGAAGAAATTAATGAGTCTTAGACATGTATTCAAGTTGAATATAATTCTGAAGTTCAAGAAATGTTTCAGATTCTGAGATAAAAGTGTGAAAATCTTCAGTACATAGATGGTAATTGAAGCCATGAGATGGGTGAGAGCTCCTAGGAATAATGAGAACATTGGGAAGAAAAGGGGTTCCCCGAAAAGAAAAATCCTAAGAAATAACTCACATTTAGGATGAGGCCAAGGAAGAGTAAGACCACAAAAGAGACTGAGAGGAGTGGCCAAGAACAGGGAGTTAGAGGGCCGGAAATAGGGGTAAGCTGAAGCTGTGGATATGAAGAAATTTCAAATGTGAGTTAAGGCCATTGGCAATGTTACTACTATAACCGTGTACAAGTTCTGGGTGGGACCAGTCTCTGGATTAGACCATTGACCTCGGCCAGAAGAGGTGGCATGGTGTAGAAGACAGAGCTCAGGATTTAGAATCAAAAGCTGTATTCTAGGGCGAGGTTTGGACCTCAAGAGCTGATGAGTCTTGTATAAAGTTAAATGCCTTGAGATCTATAGAATTAATATACCAAAATGAACATTAATAAGTATATTAAATACCATTTCATACATAGAGTGTGGAAGTTATACTTTTATAGGACTTGAGCAGCTTAAATAATACAATTATTATTCTCTCTTTCTCCTATAGGTTCGACCCAAGCCTGTGGCCCAGAATAACATTCCTATTGCCCCAGCACCACCTCCCATGCTCGCAGCTCCTCAGCTTATCCAGAGGCCCGTCATGCTGACCAAGTTCACCCCCACAACCCTTCCCACATCCCAGAATTCCATCCACCCCGTCCGTGTCGTCAATGGGCAGACTGCAACCATAGCCAAAACGTTTCCCATGGCCCAGCTCACCAGCATTGTGATAGCTACTCCAGGGACCAGACTCGCTGGACCTCAAACTGTACAGCTTAGCAAGCCAAGTCTTGAAAAACAGGTACAGGCAGAGTATGTACCTGCTCTGGGCAGTAGCCTTGCCATTGAGGCATATGGCTGCTGGGCTGTCTCTAAATACATTTTCTCAAGGGCTCTTCATTTCACCACCATTATCAGTACCGTGCCGCTTATCGTGTGATAATTCATCCACGTGCAGAAGGGTCATTTTTACTGAAGAAAGTTGGGTTGCTTTTCCCACCATCCCCTCGTAGATAGGCTCAGATTCCTGTGTGAGTGAGCTCCCCCTGCTGGTTTTGCTGTGGAAATTCACAGACAGTCTCTGCTGCCCTCAGTCAGGAAGCACAGATGTGGTAGTAAACAGAAAACGCCATGTTAGTTTCGGCCCAATAAGAATCCAGATGAAGATATGACTGTGAAAGTCAGGAAGAGTAAACAAAACAGGGAAAGGGATTTCATTTCAAAGACTTTTCTTTGATTGTTACAGATAATGGGGAGCGAAACAACAAAAATTAAAATTTCCAAAAAGCATTCTTTAACTTTAGAAGATGCAGACATTTTAGCTCAAATACTGAAACATTTCATTTATATTTCCTGAAGTCAGATTTTATCTTTAAAAACGAGGCTGGAGACATACAAGTAACCTGCAAAAACACTTGAAGTTTCTGTAGCAGAAGGATCTCTGAAAACAGCAAAAAGGATAGGCAGTCACTGTATCCTATTTGAAAAAATGACTAGTGATGAGAAAGAAGAATTTGGCAAACAAAGGCATTCTCTCTCAAGAAAGTTGCTTTAAAAAGTCATCAACCTATTTTTAATTGTTCAGGCTTGACTTCTCATTTTTCCGAAAATAGTCTGTGGTGATCCTGAATCTTATGCTTCTGGATGGCAAACCATAATTCAGGGAGGCTATTCAGATGATGGGGAATGAAAGAGCTGCCTTCTGCCTTAGTCTCCTTGAGCAGAGGAACCTATGCACAGAGCACTAGGCCTTTAAATCCAGGCAGCTCACAAATACAGCAGACCTTGCACTCAAGAAGCCCTCAGGTATCAAAATCTGTGCTTAGGAAATGCAAGAACTCATCTCTATTCCCGGGGAACTATTCAAACCCCAGCAAGTGCTTTGAGAAACATTCAGAAATGAATTATTATTATTATTATTATTACTATTATTTCGAGATGGAGTCTCGCTCTTGTTGCCAGGCTAGAGTGCAATGGCTCAATCTCCGCTCACCACAACTTCCACCTCCTGGGTTCAGTCGATTCTCCTGCCTCAGCCTCCTGAGTAGCTGGGATTACAGGCATGTGCCCCTACACCTAGCTAATTTTGTATTTTTAGTAGAGATGGGATTTCTCCGTGTTGGTCAAGCTGGTCTCGAACTCCCTACCTAAGGTGATCTGCCTGCCTTGGCCTCCCAAAATGCTGGGATTATAGCCATGAGCCACCATGCCTGGCCCAGAAATAAATTATTTACATTATTTTAAAACAGAAAATTTCAAACTCATTAACAGTGGAACTTTGGTATTAAAACTACTGAGAGTCAGGCCAGGCACGGTGGCTCAAGCCTGTAATCCCAGCACTTTGGGAGGCCGAGGCGGGTGGATCACGAGGTCAAGAGATCGAGACCATCCTGGTCAACATGGTGAAACCCCGTCTCTACTAAATATACAAAAAATTAGCTGGGCATGGTGGTGCGTGCCTGTAATCCCAGCTACTCAGGAGGCTGAGGCAGGAGAATTGCCTGAACCCAGGAGGCGGAGGTTGCGGTGAGCCGAGATCGCGCCATTGCACTCCAGCCTGGGTAACGTGAGTGAAACTCCGTCTCAAAAAAAAAAAAAACAAAAACAAACAAACAAACAAAAAAAATCCTGAGAGTCAGATGCTCAAGCTTAGGAGTTTGAGTGGGGACATGCTGTCTTGTGCTAGCTCTCAAAGAACCTCTGAGGAGCCTCAGTGTTCCACAGAACCTGGTTTCACAACACTATTTTAGGTTACTAAATATTATTTCTCTTTTACCTCTTTTTTTTGATAAAGATATTTTTAGGAGACAAGTTATTTTCATTTCATTTTATTTTTAAATTTGTTTTCTGATTACAAAGATAATACAAGTTCATTTTTAAAACAAATTCAAACATTACAAAAATATAAATTGTAGAAAGTGCCTTTCCCATAATCTAAAGAGAGAGTAAACTTTTATCATGATTTTATCATAATTTTACCCCCAAGAGGTAATTACTATTAACAGTGATTATATTCTTACAGTTATTTTTTTTTTTTTTTTGAGATGGAGTTTCACTGTTATCACCCCAGGCTGGAGTGCAGTGGCACAATTTCGGCTCACTGAAACCTCTACCTCCCAGGTTCAAATGATTCTCCCGCCTCAGCCTGCCAAGTAGCTGGGATTACAGGTGCCTGCCACCTCACCTGGACAATTTTTGTATTTTTAGTAGAGGTGGGGTTTCACCATGTTGGCCAGGCTGGTCTTGAACTCCTGGACTCAGGTGATCTGCCCACCTTGGCCTCCCAAAGTGCTGGGATTACAGGAGTGAGCCACTGTCCCCAGCCCCCAGATATTTTCTGTGTACAGGTAAAACATTTTTAAAGCAAAAACCAAAATCAAGCTATGTATTTTGCAATTTGGGGTTTTTTTTCCCACTTTAATAGATCTTAAACATCTTTTCATGTCCTGGCCTTCATGTTGATAGAGCTTTTTATTTTAATTATAATATTACAAAAAGATATCCATGAATTCTTTTTTTTTTTTTTTTTTGAGACGGAGTTTCGCTCTTGTTACCCAGGCTGGAGTGCAATGGCGCGATCTCGGCTCACTGCAACCTCCGCCTCCTGGGTTCAGGCAATTCTCCTGCCTCAGCCTCCTGAGTAGCTGGGATTACAGGCACGCACCACCATGCCCAGCTAATTTTTTGTATATTTAGTAGAGACGGGGTTTCACCATGTTGACCAGGATGGTCTCGATCTCTTGACCTCTTGATCCACCCGCCTCGGCCTCCCAAAGTGCTGGGATTACAGGCTTGAGCCACCGCGCCCGGCCCATCCATGAATTCTTAAGAATTAAAATAATTTCCATTGTAGCAGTAAATGTCATGGTTTCTCTTTTTGGTCTAATAAAGAAATTCAGGGCCGGACGTGGTGGCTCACACCTGTAATCCTAGCTCTTTGGGAGGCCGAGGTGGGTGGATCACCTGAGGTCAGGAGTTCAAGACCAGCCTGGCTATCGTGGTGAAACCCCATCTTAAAAAAAAAAAAAAAAAGAGAAATTCAGTCATTGTTATTTTAGTTTGCTGGGCAGCCTGGCATAATAGTCTTAGAAGTTACCAAGCTCAATCAGCAGAGACTCTCTTTAGACTAGATTGCATTCTCAGGATTCTCTTACTTCATATCTTTCAACTATCCTTTTCTATTTATATTTCATTTTCAGTATCACATTTATAGCCATTGAGAGATCTCATAGATCATGGAGCTAAGAGGAAAGCAATGTAATATTTGTAGCCGTGGAAGAACCTGTTCACACCTGTTCACAGAGTTATCAAACCTGTATCCAGCATTCTCTATATGACCAGGCTAAATGGGTTCCCTTATGCTTTCTGCTGTTCCCTTTAGATGATAACATCATTCATTTAATAAAAATGTGTTAAGTGCCAGTTGCTATGCTGCATGTGGTTTCTATATATAAGGTGGATAAACTAAAGCCTATACCCTCACGGAACTCAGTTTCTAGTGTGTTTGGAGCAGGCACTGAGGCTGTGTCTCCAGGGAAAGAATCATGGCTTCCCACATTGGCACAGGAATGGGAGAAGGCAATGCCAGCTACAACAACAGTGGTCTCACTTGGCCTTCCCCTGTCAGACATGACCGACTTCCATATCCACCCAGATAAGAGATGTTATCCCTCATTAGAAACCACATTACATTGTGGCTCTGAGAAAACAAGTGATAGGTTTTAAAATCTTTGAAGCTGAAGACTTGTTTTAGACAGAAAGGCAGATGAAGCCAAAAGACTTAGGATATAGCCTCCACATTGCCTCCCTTTGTGTTTTTGTCCTCTCCAGCACTCTAAAATGGGGCTAACACTTGTTGGTGATGAAATGAGGTAAATTATTTAATGTTTATTTAGACTATGCCTGATAGAATTCTCAGAAATTACGTTTCTTTCTTATTCACCACACTGCACACCCTGCAACAAAGACTTTTATGTATGTCTCCAAGGCTAAGCTACCGAAAAAAATCCAAGGTTCTGTGGGGGAAAAAATTGCCACATTACCCCTACTTCCATATATGTTTTTCATAGGAACCTGCATAATATACCCTAAAGAGGAGTACTTAACAAAATAAGAATATTATCCAATGTATTATCTTTAAATTTCTGTTTTCTCCGTTAGTAAGCCCGAGCTGACACTCCCATCCCCCGCCACTGCATTTTAATACTGGTGCTATAGTAGGGAGAGTAAATCCAAGTGACCAGACATGGATTTTGCTTTGCCTTCAATCCCAATTTGTTTTAACCTTGACTAACAAAATTATTTGGACATTTATTTGCACCTGACTAACTTTGATTTTTCATGCAGACAGGTATATAGGGTATACTTGATTAACTTCATTCTAGATTTATGCAGAGTTTTTGGATTCTTTTATGATACCACAAAGAACAGGAGTTGCAAATTGAAATAACCGTGGGTTCGAAGAAGAGATGTAAGTGAGTAAAACAGGCTAAGAGTAAACAACCGGACTTTTTATTTATTTTTCCACTTTCAGTGGGAACATGAGCACAAGAGATATCCCACTTTTATTCTTAATTCCCCTTTAAAATAATAAGTAAGACAAGCATGATAATAATTGACAATAGAAAATGGAAGAAACTGTGGCAAACTGCACAGTAATGTGCTTCATCTCAAGGAAGCAGCTGCTTCTTGGCAATAACAAATTTTTATCACATGGAGACTTTTTCAAGAAAAGCCTGAAATCCAGATGTTGTCAAAAGTTGCCTAGTTGTTAAAATACTGGTAACTGTTTAAACACCATAG